GATTTTCTTGCTTTTTCTTTTCTTTATGGGGGTGGAGGGAGGTAAGACAAGGTCTCATTAAGCCAAGGTGGACTCACTGTCACAATGTAGCTAAACTTGACCTTGAATTCCTGATCTTCCTGCCTCTTTCTCCCTAGACCTAGGATTATAGGTGTGTTATCAACTGTTTTTTTTTTAACTCCTTTTTAGTAAGTTTGTTATTTTTGAGTCAAAAATTTCACAACGTAGCCCAGGCTGGCCTTGAACTGGTGATCTTCTTGTCCTCACCTCCTGAGTGCTGTGATCACAGGTAATAGTCACTATTCTTGGATAAAAATCTCTTAAAAGTCACAACTTGCTGGACACTAAGGCCTATGGCAAATCCTACTGTGAAGATAAATTTATAGGCCTTCAGAGAATAAGGATTATGACAAAATATAGCCCAAGCCAAAAAAACTTATGGCAGAAAAAAGTGTTGTCTATATTATAAGATTATTGTTGAAGCCCTTTTTGTCAACTTTTGAGCCTTCAATTGTTCCCCTAACTGGCAGTTATCTTGGGTTTAGCTGGCTGTTAGAGGGCAATGCACCTTCATAATGTAAACCCAAATACTACTTAAAATGAGCCATACATAGAAGATAGTTTGAAAGAAAAGTTTGATGTCGCAATGTGGATGTCTCAGTTTCCAGGTGTAGTTAGTGAAGAGGATTACTCTGTTCAATACATAGAAAAATTATAATCCAGAAATGAGTTAAAACAATTCTAGCATCTGAAAAGGACATCAGCAGATAACAGATGCAGCACATAGAATATAAAATTAGAGCAACAGTAGCCGAAACATACAAAAAGCATGCTTTAATCTGTTAGTACACATCTTTCCCTATATTTTAATTTTTTTCCTTGTTGAGAAAGACCTGACCCTGAGTGCTAAAACAGAATACAGCTAAAGACAGGAATTATAAGGGGAAGCTGGAAAAATACCACAATAACCCCGGATAATGGTGATTAATAAAGGATCAAGGAGGACAAAAGATACAGAGGACAGGGAGGAGATAAACATGGTAGCTATGTAAAAATGAAAAATAGATGGCATTTAATTTCAGACTAGATTTAAGGAGAGAAGGACAGAAACAGCCAAAAATTTTGCAGCAGGGGACATTTCTTAATTTCAGGGTAAAAGTAAAGGGGTACATAGAAAAGTGGTTGAGGAGTTGCTGGCAGAGAATGTTCTAGCTCCAATGGATGTCAACTAGTCAACTATATACAGAATTTTCAGAGCAAGCTACTTTTATTTCAGCATGCCAAGTTTTTATGTCACTGTGAAAAATGGTATGATTTTAAATTATATATAAGAAAAAAGGCATTTCTCTAATATTCTAATACTATAGTCTTCTCAATGTTTCAGTACACCTGAAGGTTTAAACCTAATCTGCAGAGCTGATTAAGTGTAGAAGCCCTTGCCAAGTCCAAGATCATAGGAAGTAAATATTTACATTACCTAAGCCATGGGTGTGCAAATAGAAGGGCACTTCACAGGAAGGCAGAGATAGAGAACAGCCTTGCCTCTATAAAAACAAACTCCGTGTACCTTCAACTGGTATGAGGAGAAATGAAGCATTCCAAAGAAGAACTCTTGGGATTTATACTGGCCATGCATGCAGGCCCGAGGCAAGCTGAGGAAAAGCTGCAAATACTAGCTCCTACAGAGAACAAGTTTGGACGAACATGGAAGACATGTTGGCAGAGAAGACAGCCTGCAGGTGGCAAAGTTTTAGAACAGAATTACATGCTTACCCCTGATTAGATCACATTTTGCAAAACACAATAGAGTTTCTGAAGAATTCTCAATTGTGTATATCATATATGGGACCTGCTATGTCAGCAGAAAAAAAATTCTTTTCTCTAACAAGAAACTCCTCCAAATAATTTTGGATAGTCTATTTAATTTACTTATTTTTATTTTTTATTTCTTGAGGCAGGGTCTCCCTGTAATCCCAGCTGGCCTGGAACTTGCTATGTAGACCAGGTTGGACTCCATCTCAGAGATCCACCTGCCTCTGCCTCCTGGGTGCTGGAATTACAGGTGTGCACCATCACACCCAGCCTAACAGTCTCATTTTATAGTGACTACTAATATTATAGCAACAATTTCTAAATACGACCCGAAGTCTTAATTATTTGTTTCCTTTTATGAACACCACAACGGGACAGGACAGTAATCTATCTCCACTAGTCTATGGTGGCATTACAGAGGCTCCACATCAGTAGGTGAGGACACAAGTAGATACCCTTCAACCTCAAATATGAGACTATCTTAAACCACTCATCAGTAAGTTTCATTTATCATTCAATCTGAGCATTTCCCTCTCCAAAAGGGGGGTATGTTAACAATTATATGCTCAATGTAACTCAGCTTATCACCAGCAGCAGCATATTTAGTCTGACTTCTCTCATTTTTAGATTCTGTACTATTTCTTCCTGATTTCCTAATGACTGATAAGCATTACCTGCTATTTTCATTCCATTAGAGATGCTTTGAATAATTTGGTCATTCCTAACATCCTTTCCCCACCAAAATTTCCCATTTTATCCTCTATTTAAAACATCCAAGATTTTTTTAAAATAACAATGTTATTTCCTAAATCCCGTATTCTACTAAATTCTGTGAAACTCTGAGGGTATATAAGAGTGGAGTCCTCCAAACCAAAGTATTAAAGATAGATTCGCCAGAGCTACATCTTGAACAGCCTGAGGAACAGAGGATTTTACTGCAAATTCTTCAGGATCTTTAAAAGCTCTTTACATTTTCAGATTATAAAAAGAAACCAAGCAAAGCAATTTTATAAAGGAAACACCTTTTTACAAGCAACTAACATTTTCACTGGAAATATAAGAGAGTCTTTTAAAACTATTAACAAAAGGAATGCCACCAACAAACAAGAATGTGCTTAGGGAAGGAACTGACAACATTCAACAGCATGCTCTTTCTTCTGTAGGAGCTGACGGCACTGCTTGCTCCCAGAGGGAAACTGAGCAGCTCAACCCCATGGAAGGAAAAGAAATATTTATTATAAATCTTTTGTATTTATTCTGTATATTGACTCACCCATAACTTTTCACCATTATTTTTATTAATGGATTACACTGATTTTTTCAATGTTTAAATCAATTTTACATTCATAGAAAAATATATTAGTCTTCTAATATATTATAGATTTAACTTGGTAACATGCTACCTGGGATGTTTCGTCTTATGAGTGGCTCGGCTCTGTCCTTTCATGTCCCCTTGTGTAGTATAAAGACCATGCTGGCCTTAAACAATAAGTTGTGAAGTATGTCCTGCTTTGTCTAGTCTCTGGAAGAGTTTGAATGACAGGCACTGTTGCTCCTAGCACCTCTTTCCTTTCTCTTCTAGCTTGTTACTTCTGTTGAAAGTGCAGCACCTCTGCCTCTGCCAGGCCTCCCCTCATAGCTCCCGGTCTGCACTGCCACCCCCTCCACCCTGCCTCTGGATGCCTGGATCACGCTGCCCACTGCCACCCCCACCACCCTGCCTCTGGATGCCTAGGATCAGGCTGCCTGAGAAGTCAACCTACCCACTCCACAGAGCTCCTGCTCCAGCAGGAGGCCAGATGAAAAAAGAAAATGAAAGGTTCCATTCCTGGCAAACAGAACTGCTGCTTCTTTGCAGGTCTAACACTTTTTCATCTTTATTTTTACTATTTCTCTTTGACTTTGGTTTTCAGCTATACGATAGTCCATCTAGGTATGGTTTTCTTTCAGAGTTACTTGGCTTGATATTTAAAATACTTACTGAATTTGCATTTTTAAAGCTGGCTATTCTATGACAAGTAGTTATGGAGTAAAGCCCTGAAGGACCTTCACCTGGGCCTTTTCTCAGGCTCATGGTAATAGCAAGCAATCACCAGGGATAAAACATCTCACCTGGACATAATCTCAGTGCCTGACATATTTCAAAGCTAGGATTCATTTCTGAACTACAGGTAGCACTTTGGGGTTTCAACCTAATCACACAGGGTTTATCAGCAGCACCCACCCCCTCCCCTCACCTGTGCAACCTTGGTAGCATGTAAACACCTGTTACCTGTTTCTATTGCAATGTCCTTAGGTGTCCAGCAGACATGCTGCTCACATTCTTACCCAGAGTTCTCAGAATCAGCACACGTTCCTCCTCAGCAGAAAGGTGGCCTGAAATGCTAGGCTCCTGTCTCTGCCTAAGTCACATCCTGATATATTCAGATATATTTCTTTTATATTCAGTCCAGTTTTTCTCATTTTTTAGAGTGTTAATCTAAATTACTTTATCCAACATTATCAAAAGTTGAACTCCTCCAAAACCAGATGTAGCACATTTATTTATAATTTTTTTAAGTTCTATTTCTTCTCTTTCTCTCCCTTATGAGCCAGACCCAAACAGAATGCTTGTTTTAAAAGTAGATACTCTACCATCATCTCTAAAGTGTATTTTAAAATAAATCAAAAGGGTAACACCCCATTCAAGTACTGAAATACCATTATAAAATGTCATTTGCAGAAAACATGTTGTCTGAAGTAATGAAGACTGATAATTTACAATAAAACCACCTTAAAAATTTCAGCTAGAGCTGTGGCTCGGTAGAGCATGCATGAAACCTTAGGTGTGATCTTCCAACACTCCATAAAGCAGGTATGGTGGCTCACACCTATAATCTCAGCACTCAGGAGGATCAGAAGTTCAGGGCCATCTTCAGCTACCTAGGGAGTTCAAAGCCAGTCTGGGATATATGCAACTTGGACTAAAAAAAAAAAGTTCTAATTATTATTCTCTTCTAATTATTTCTAAACACATATTAACATTATCTAGCAAGTGTTATTTATGACCTAATTTTTTAAATTTCAAATGTGATATAGTTTTTCCCCCCTCCCTTGTAGTCTTCTTCCCTGGGAAAATTATACAATGTTAGGAAGATCTAAAGTTCAGTTTTGAAAAAATAAAAGAAACAGTGACTGCCAATACTTACAGTGAAAAATACGAAAATCAATATATGGATGTGAACCTCTTCTTTCTGTTTCAAATCCTGCCCGGCTCCTTACTCGTACATCTCCTGGACAGAATCAAGAATAAAATAGAAGTTTAGAACATTGTCACTGGGGGGCTGGAGAGATAGCTCAGCGGTTAAGAGCACTGACTGCTCTTGCAGAGGACCTGGGTTCGATTCCTAGCACCCACATGGCGGCTATGAACCATCCTTAACTCCAGTTCCAGGGGAATCTGAAGCCCTCTTCTGACCTCCGCAGCATTGCACGACACAACATCACTTACATACATGCAGGCAATGCACTCATACACATAAAATAAAAAAAAAAATTTAAAGAAAATTGTCATTGGTAGAGGAAGCTCCCATATGCAAAGAGGCCTATGTGTTATCATATTCCTAAATATGGCCTGTCCAGGGAAGGCCAGTGAGGGAGCAGAATGAATCACAAGAAAGTATAGTGACATACATGCAAAAATGTCATAATGAAACATATCTCTTTGTATGCTAACTTAATAAAAATAAGTAAATAAATTGAATGAATAGTTAAGAACGGACTTATTTGAAACCGTTCATAAATTTCCAGTACTGAGTTATAAGACTGGATTAGGAAAAAAATTTTAAATGTACCTCTATAATATTTTTCCTATTTTAAAGTTAGCCTCCTAAAATATGACTCAAGTCAATATATTAATTTGATGAACTTTTGAAAGAAAATGTCTGTGGAAAACAAATCTATTTCACAGAACAAAAATCTTAGGAAGAAAACTTTTGAAGTTTTCTCACTTCTTGCCACAGCAAGAAGCAAATATTTATTTTCTACTCTGTGCCTAGCATTATACAATGGACTGACTACAAAGGGTGTGAAAAAGAGAAACATATTACCTGTTCTCAAGCAGTCTGCAACATACTAACTGGGTAGTAAACTAAAGTTAAACTGCTGGGTTTCATAATTTCTCCTTACTGTCAGTGGTTACGTTGAAGGTTTTAGCAAGTTCTTAAACTTTGGTTTTTGTTAAGTCTGGTGGTGTTCTTACATGAACTCACATAGTTTTCACTCTTTTAGCAACTAATTATCAAATCAATCTTGAATAAGAGGAATCTTAATTCCCACTTTACAGATGTAGAAACTGGACTCTGACAAATTAAATCACATGTTCCATGCCTCAAAGTTAGTATAAATGATGAGCCAGAATTGAAATCTGCAGATTCCAAAGGTAGCTATTCTTCCATTATGCTTTTACAGTGTCCAAGTTCATACCCCCATCTCCAGCCCTTCCCTGAGCTCCTGAAATGGCCTTCCTAGAACAGAAGGAGCTCCTTACTCTGTTTCTACAAGGATGGCTCACTTCCTCCAAGCTCACTTCATCTACTGTGACTCCATCCCACAGAAACTGATCACCTTCAACATGGTGACTCCTCACTGTGACAAAGATTTACTGAGCACATGTCAGGTCCAGGACAGATAGCAATGAGCAAAATGCAGAAACACTCTGTCCTCATGAAGCTCATTTTCTCATGGGATAGCAAGTAACACAGAAAACATGTGTTCTTTCTATGGAAGAGGGAAGATGCTATATGGAAAAACTAAAGCAACATAAGCAGGGAACAGCATGTCGGGGGAGGGAGGTGATGTGATAATGTCATTAGGAAGTCCTCATTGCAAAGAAGGCATCTGAGCAGGGACCTGAAAGGAGTGTGACAGTAAGCCATTCAGTGATCAGAAGAAAGGTTTCCAAGCACAAATTAGAGCAAGTCTGAATTCCCTAAGATAGCAGTTTGGTTGGTATGTTCAAAGACAGACAAAAAGGTCAGCAAGGCAGGCATGGTGTATAAGGGGACTTGTGGGGTCAGAGAAGGAGCAGGGCTGGATCATGTTGGACCTCCGTGACTACTATATTGGCTCTGGCTGTTACTCTAAGGTTGAAAGTCATTAGAGGACTCTGGGCGGGCAGAGGAGTAGATGATTTCATTTTGTCTGAAAAAGGTTCATCTCTGCTGTATAGACCAGAATAGAGGCATACAAGTGAGCTCAGGAAGACCAATTAAAGAATAAATATCATCAACAAGGCAACAACTATGTTATAAATTAGGCAGTACATAATCAGAGTAGTGAGATGCTGTTTTTTTGAAGGTATCCATCAGTGGGATTTATCAATTAATTAGCTATAGAACAGAACAGAACAGAAGTTATGGGCCTGGAGAGATGGCTCAGCGGTAAAGGGTGCTTCCTGTGCTTCCAGAGGACCTGAGTTTAGTTCCCAGCATCCACACCAGGTAGCTTGCAATTGCCTTTAATTCCAGCTTCATGGGATGACGTCCTCTTCGAGCCTCTGAGGGTGCCCCTCGCAACATGATATACATTGACACAGACACAAGACACATATACAAGTAAAATAAAAATAAATCTTCAATTTCTGCTACAAAAAAGTGATGAGAGGCAACCTTCAGTATCTCAACTTCAAATAATTATGTGACAGCATAATTAACTGATATTGATACAAAAGTGTGCTTACCTAGCATACGAATGTATAATGCAGTCTGATCAGAACTGTCATAGGAAATAGCTCCACGTCTCTGAAAAAAAACACACACACACACACACTTTAATACATGACAATGAAAGTGCTCTAAAATATAATTTCGTGAACATGCATTTATAACCTATAACCTATTATTTGTGAAGCACTGTGCAAGAGAAGTTAAATATACAAAATGAATCTGTTCTGGAAATCTCTAGTTGAAGGAGAGACAAATACAATACAATGTGGCTAAGAACTATCATAAAAAGTAGACACAAGAGTGAATAAAGTTCAAGAATGACATATAAATTGATTTCTTTTGGGGGTATGAGATGCTAAGGATTGAGCTTAGAGCCGCTGGCATGCTAGGAAAGTACTCTACTATTGAGCTACATCTCCAGTCCCATAGATGTTGATTTCTAAGACAATCTGAAAAGTTACCGGACAGAAAAAAGAGGGAAAGGTGACTGAATGGTATTCCAGGTACACCTCCTGGTCCCCAGTCCCTCTTCACATAGAAGTGCCAGCTAGCTTTTCAGGTCCTGCTCGGAAATCCTCCAGTGACTTCCCACTGCACCTGGAGTAAGTTCCAAAGCCCAGATTCTGGGGCCCAAGGCCCTCCGTGATCAGCCCTTGATGCTCTTGTCCTACCATCTCCCTCAGCACAGTGAGGCAACCATGCTGGCCCCCTTGTTTCCTCATCATGCCCAATGTCTCCCTTCACAGGTTCTGCCCAAAGCAATGCAATTGCTGTTCCCTTCCTATCTCTTAAGGTCTAGATGAAAGCTCGTAATCAAACCACCTTCTCGTGCAGTGCCTTACCCCAGGCCTTTGTATAACACTTAGCTAATGTTATTGTATTTGCTTGCTATTAAAACAGACATTCTGAAGAGCTGGAACTTATCTCTCATTCACTACAGAACCCTGGCAGCTAAGACAGAGCCAATCATTTGGAAAATGCTATAAATACTTGGTAAATAAATGCACTTGTTGCAAACAATGATTAACGAGGGACAAATAACAACTATTGACAGGACTGGTACAAATAAATACACTTTGAAATCTGGAAGATAAAACTGACCAAACTTCCTATTAGAACCTAAATTCTGTGGAGGCGAAGACTTCACACATTGCTGTGCCCCCAGAGCCAGCCCAAATTCTAACATTCAGAACAGCACTTGGGACATTGAAAGTAATTGAGGTGCCAGCAAGATGGCTCAGTGGGTAAAGGTGCTGGTAGCCAACCTGACAACCTGAGTTCAGACCCCCTGGGTTCACATGGTAGAAGGACAGAACCAGCACCTACAAGATGTTCTCTGAATGTTTTTCTTAAAAAGTAGTCAATAAAATCAGTTTCTTTAAAGGCAGTAGTAAATGGAGCCAGCACCAGTTCTAATCTGTATGGTGATGCAGTACCACGATGACACGGGGAAAACAGCTGAAGGGGAATCCAGAGGCAAATACTGTACTGACTATTTAATAAGTAACAAACCAATAAATACAAAGGAAAGCTGCTCAACCTCATCAACAAAGAAAATGTACATTAAAGGCATGTGATCACAGTTTCATTTATCAGATTAACAATCTTCTACCGCCACAAAACTCTGAGAGTCATGGGCCCTAAACACAACACACGTACTTATAAATATGCGATAGGAGATATCAATTTGAAAAATAATAATTATGAAGAAAGATTACTTTAAGTCATTACATAGATTTGGTACACAAAAGCACTCCCACAGCTTTATGAGAGAGAGAGAGAGAGAGAGAGAGAGAGAAAGAGAGAGAGAAAGAGAGAGAGAAAGAGAGAATGAGAATGAATGAATGTAGGGGACGGAAGCATATACCAACCTCCATTGCTATACCTAAGGTGCCATCCACCTTTTTTTGTGAAACAATCTTTCACCTAGCCTAGAACTCACCAAGTGGGCTAGATTGGCTGGACATTGATTTCTAAGGATCTGCCTGCCTCTGACTCCTCAGCACTTGGATTAAAATCATGTACCCAAATGGTCATCTATTTATGTGGGTTCTGGGGACTGAACTCAGGTCCTATGACTTGCATGGAAAGAACTTCACGCTGAGTGCTTTCACCCCAGCAAAGTTATAGTCTTAATATTTGTTTATCATTTAAGAAAAAAATACAGATTAAAACCTTATATGATTTCATGCACTTTAAAAAAAAAGTTGATGAAATGCAGAGGAACAAATATTTCAACTTAAATTAACCTACCAACACTGGTTATCTCCAAGGACCAAGGGACAGAGGTAGGAGGGGGCTTTTTAACATGGAACTTTGTGCCTCTAAATTTTTATAGCATGTATAGTTTCATGTCACAAAACAATTTTTTTCACAAAACAAATTTTTAAAAAGTAAAAATCATCTACAAAAAATCTATAAAGGTATGATCTCAAATTACAAGAGACTAATTCATACAGAATATATCCCCAACATTAGCTTAACATGTCTCACAGCAACAGAATGTCTGAAGAAGCCGCCACAGTGTTTCATGGTAAACTAGGTATTCTGGAGCAAAAGGCCCTATAATCACCTGATGTTAAAAGACACCAGCCACTCAGAACTGCTATTACAATCCTCTTTAAGATGCTTATTTTATCAGGTTACAGGCTTCCCTTGAACACTGCCAGGCTAAGGGTAAACCTAACAGTCTGGGAAAATGTATGTGGTGATAAATACTGCTGTCAGCTAAAACCTATTAACAAAACCACAGGTAACAATATGTAATAACTTATCAGAGCCAATACCTATTAATCTGGTAGTGCCCAATAACAACTTGGTGAAACAGCCAGTTAAAACAAAATTTAAACTATTATCTTTAACAGTTTTCTATCAGGGGTGGTTGGCATTATTATTTTTATCACTGGAAAAGTATCTGCCAAACAGCCACTTTTAAAAGACAAAAATCTTATTGATCACATCACATAGAAAATTGCTAAAGACTCATGCCAGCTCTCATAAAATAAAACCAGGTAATGAGAGCCAGGCATGGTGGCACATGCCTTTAATCTCAGCACTTGAGAGGCAGAGGCAGGCAGATCTCTGAGAGATTGAGGCTAGCCTGGTCTACATAGTGAGTTCCAGGCCAGCTGGAGCTACAGGGAGGCCCTGTCTCAAAAAAACCAAGCCAAACCAAAACAAAAACTAGTTAATGAACATAATCTAGATTACCATTTATCTATGGCACACTAAATTTATTGCAAATATTTTAGACTCATTTATAGAAGCAGTAAACATTAAAACAGGACTATACTAATATTGGTTAAAATTTGGCCCCAAAGGGTAGAATTTAATGCGCCTTAATTAAGTATGTATTAATAAACTACTTAGTGATAAGAAAAATATTCATCGTTCTGTTAATGTACTAACTTATGAAAGGCTGGTCTATAAATACTGAGCTCAAGTACCATCCTGAACCCCAAGATATAACTGTTACTGAGTAAATCCAAGTCAGACAAAAACATTTTTAAAAGAATGGTCTCTAAAAATATACATATCTGAACCCATTAATGAATACAAACTGGGGGACAAATCACCCATCAACTTCCTCAGAGATTAAGTTAAAAATGAACAGCACACGGGCTGGAGAGATGGCTCAGTGGTTAAGACCACTGACTGCTCTTACAGAGGACCTGGGTTCAATTCCCAGCACCCACATGGCAGCTATGAACTGCCCTTAACTCCAGTTCCAGAGGAATCAGAAGCCCTCTTCTGACCTCCGTGGCATTGCATGACACGGGTGTACTCACATACATGCAGGCAACACACTCATACACATTTAAAAAAAAATTAAAAAAATAAAATATTGAAAAAAAGAACAGCATCAAGTTCTCTCAGTAAGTACTTTAGGTAATCTAAAATAATTCAATTGGGAAAAATACACTACAAATTATGAATTAGAATAAGAAAATTTATAATGTCATTTTTAAAAAATGTGCTTTATACACCAAGATACTAACTTAACAAATGTTTTATTAAAAGACTGTAATTTTTAAAACTACACCCTGGTAGAATTTAATTTTTAATTCCATCAAAATGCTGTGTCACACTGAGTCCCAGAGCCCTCGGCCATCATCCGCATTCCCACTGCACCTCTCCAGAATGGAAATAACTGAGGCTTCTGCTCGTGACTCTTCTAATTTAGCCATCCTGGAAACAGCTTGTAAAGCAACTAGTATAGGTCAAAGCCTGGGCAAGGTGGAGCTAACCAGAAACTGACAGCCACAGCATAAACAAGTTAAACTGTAAAGTTCCAAAGACTCCATTGCCACACTCACAGGCCCTGCTGAGACATCCACTCACCTTGAAACTGGGTGAATCATTCTTCCATAAAGATTTGACTTGAAGGTAAATGACAGAAGGTGTAAAAGTTGTCCTCAATATTAGTTAATACATAACTTCCAAAGACAGACACGGCAAAAGCAACAATAGATAATGTTCTGGGTACTTTGATACAAAAAAACTCAGTTCACACAACAGCTCTATGAGGTAGCCTTTATCCCCACTTTACAGATTAGTAAACTGGGTTAAAGGGTTTAAACACAGTAGCTCTAAATAAAGTTTCTGGGAACAATACTGGAAAACTGCACTCCATATAAGCGATAGATGAAGCATGGCCAAAATTCCAAAACCATTTTTTTCTGACCTAGTGAAATAGGCATTTTTAGACTTCATGCACTACAAAAACAAGCGTGTGTATGAGTAACTAAACTATTCAAATGCCACCTAGATGTTCCTATTCTTCTCTCTAAAATGTGCTTTTGAAACATTAGATATCAGCATTTTTAAAAAAATTAATTCTTGGTGGCCATTTAAAAAGCTAAGGCTCCGAGACCATCTTATAATTACTAATACATTATTAACATTAACTTGACCTTTATTCCTAACTTGGCAAGCCAGTCCTTTAAAAAATGAATAAATAGCTCTCAGCACAACAAAATTAATTCTTAACTTTTAAAACACCAGAAGTTTGTTTTGAGAGTACTGTATCTCCTGAACAGACTTTTTTCAACAATTCACTTAGTAAAAGGGATCAT